AGCATGGCTGGCTGGGGAATTCTGGGAGTTGAAGTCCACACATCTTCAAGCTGCCAAGGTTGAGAAACACTGATTTAATGCATATCGGTAGTGCTTTTTGCCAAAGATAATTCAGGGCAGTTTACAGTGAACGAACAAACAGACAAACAAAAATCTATGCAATCCATTTCAAAAAATAAAAATAAATTACCCATAAGTGACAGCAAAGGAAATAAATAAGGAAACTCAGGGAACATCAATAGCGAAGAAGGATTTTATTTACATGGTGTTACGAAAGGTACGATAACAATTCACTCTTAAGGAGGAGATGAGAGTTCATGTATTTGATTCTATTTTCAGGGGAGATACGATGGCCCACCACGGCCACCATCACCGTCAGGATTAAATCGGAATTTTAAAGATGTGATGAACTAGTTAGATTCTGTGTCATTCTTTTCAAGCAGTTTTGGCATACGCAGAGCCTGTTATTTTAATGCGTATTTTGCTTTCGTCCTGGATGTCTGTGGTTACTATAACAAATACAACTATTTATGGCACCCTTCTTAGGGATGCCTCAGCCCTGAGCTTTGATAGGACGTGGATAGTTCTAAGAAGGATAAGAGATGAGCCTGAGATGATTTAAATAGCTTCAAGTGCCAGGGAAATGCCAGAGGTATTTATGAGGTTCTGGTGGTTCATCCAGTATTTACATTTACGTGTCACTCCCACTTATCCTCAATTGTTAAGTTTTTTAAAAGAAAGAGGAGAAAAAACCTGGTTTTGCATTGTTATCAGTGCAACCTTTGACCAGATATTTAAGGTTAATTTGACTAGCCAAGAAGTGATGCATATCTCATGCACTGCCTTTTCAACATCTGGCGTTTGAAAAGAAATAGCTTCTTCAGTTTCCTTTTGCAACTTACGAGTTATGCTGTAAGAAGGTCTATATTTTGAAAGAAGAAAAGAAAAGAACCAGCTTTTAAAAAAGGAATGATAGAAATCCAGAGCACTGAAGGAGGATCTTTAATTACAGTTTAAATGCTCAGACTAGATCAACTTAAAATAGAACATTATTTCTGATTAAATTGGTAGTGACTGACTTGGTCAGGTTTTGCCAGATATTGATATTTAGATAGGAAAATCTGAAATTGTGGTATAAACTCCAAAATTCAGTTGGAATTATGGTGCTATATTATATGTTTGTTTGTTTTTTAAATAGCTGCATTTCAATTGCAATGAGCAGCAAGTAAAGATTTCCATAGTTAACCACTGTCACTTTTTTAATGGCTACAGAAACAGTATACAGATACAGGTAGCCCTCGCTTAACGATGGTAACTGGGACCAGGATTTCCATCGCTAAGTGATGCATGACATAAAGCAGAACATCACATGACCCCATCACTTAGCGACGGCGATCCTGGTATTCCCCATTGCTGTTGTTAAGCGAGGATTGCAGGTTGTTAAGCAAGTCCCAGGTGGCTTGCAAGCAGGGCAGCAGGCAGGTAAGGCACAGAGCGAGTGTGGCAGGGCTAGGGGTGACTGCTGCCAGGAGGGAGAGGGTGCGAGCAACTTACTGGAGTGATTTGCAACCTTCCCTGATGGCTTCCCCACTGACTTAGCTTGTGGGAAGCCAGTGAGAAAGGTCTCAAATGGCGATCACATGATGCTGCAACAATCATAAGTGCGAGCCGGTTGCCAAGCGCCCAGATTTATTTATTTATTTATTATTTTATTTTATTTTATTTTATTTTATTTCTCCCCCGCCCATCTCCCCCCAATGGGGAACTCTGGGAGACTCACACAAAACATTAAAACTATAAATATATACAAATACATAAACCATCAATTTAAAAACATTACTAAAAAAGAAAAAGGAGAGTCCAAGAAGATGAAGAATCTGGAGCTAAAGACAGCAGGCCTCTATGGGGCTAGCCATCCCCATGCTTGAAGTATTCCCTCCCCACCCCCGGCCAAGCGGCGGAAGCAGGCCCTCAAAGCCCTCCCGAACGGCCTGGGTGGGGGGGGC